AGAGGAATACAAGAAACTTGCCGAGCGGTGTTGTGATGCTGATCCTGATAAGCGTCCAAAGGATGGATGGACACTTTGGGAGGATATTTGCGGTATTATTACAAATACAGAAAAGGATAAATCTAGTGACAACATGTGGAATACTATCTACCATAATGATGTAAAACCGTTGTCACGTCTCGAGAAGGAGAGTAAATATTCCAGCACACTCTTACCTACTGGAGCTTTGCCTAAACCGAGAAATAGCTATGATTTGAATTCGGCTGCAGGTATGTTACGCGTTGGAACAAAATAAAGTCAATTTACACATTACAATGTTAACACTTTAACCCTTCTTATAATTTAGCAACTCAATCTCTTTTTGAATAAACTGGTATTTTACGATTTATTACAGTTTATTATTATATAAATCTTATTCAAAGGTTCGAATTATACTAATACGTGTGCTTCTACATATGTCAATATGGGATGAATTAACAAGACGACGCTGAAATAAAGTCATATTTATCGTTAGTTGCTTTTTCAGTAGAATATTAGAAAATATAAGAAAATTATTAACTAAAAGTAAATATTGAGAATTATTTATTTAAAGCTCACAAATAAATACGTACGCTGACTAATGCTAATACAAAATTTGTCACAGAATAACTTCAACTCGCCGAACTTGAGTTTATCAAAGTTGCAACTTGACTCTGATCTACTCTCAGCGCAAAAAGCTGCGTTTATTGTGCAACATAAATAAAAATAGTAAAAAAACACAACTCCGACGATCAAGTCTATTGGTTTAATCGAAAATCCTGATATCCGTAATTCGGTAATGTTAATAAACATCGTTTAAATCTAATATCACAAAGACAAAACAAAGACGTTGTATATTAATATTCCTGAATAAGTAGTAGACTTTAAAGTTTCCAACAACAACGTAATAGTAAGCACGATGATGAAAGCTGTTATAATTTAGATATGTTTACAATTCCTAACCGAGTTTAGTAGACCGGTTAAACTCAAGACAATTTAAAATACGTAAGCACGATGACGAAAGACGTCATATTGGAACTTTCTCGACGATAGATTTATTATCAATCTACAGTAAAAAAAACAAACAATAAATCGGGCAGGGCCATTGCTTTATCACCACTTTGCGAATATTAATATGTCTGTTATTCCTAATATCATTCTGTATACCTAATGTACGTTATGTCACGGTTTACCCAAACGTGGTACGTAATTGTAGTCGGTTCACTGTTAATAGGGCCATAAAATCAGCATCACTTTAGAGGAATTAGGACTTTCTTACAAAATCCACAAAATTGCGTTGACTTCAGGAAATAAAAAAAAAGAGTGGTTCTTGAAAATTAATATGAATGAAAAGTAAAGTGTTGTCTGATAATACTGATCGACGAAAAATCTCTGTAAAGCGTATTTACATTCTATTAATTAGAGTACCGGCCATGGTTGATCACTCGCGTGATAATTTCAACGTATTTGAAAGTGCTGCCATCATGCTCTATATAAGGTAGGCGAACATTATGACCCAGAAGGCAAACTGTTACCCAAGGATCTCACGAGACTCTGCAATGGGCAGAGCTCTGCCAATGGGTATGCATATCGACGAAATGTTGTTAGCATTGCGTAAGAGAGAGAGCTGATAAGCAGATATTTTATTGATTAATTTGACCCGTTTTTTGATAATATGATGTCTCAAAACGGTGGTTTGGATTCAATGCTAGATCAAGCATATCATTTTCTGAAGGAGACTCCAGAGCAGATTACATATAACATTCGTCGATACTATAAGAAAACTCAAAGACTGTTGAGTGTAAGTTTTGCTGTTGATACACGTGGTTTATTCGCATGCATCGACGTTAGTTTATTATTGACTATGTTCTCAATTAATAGATGCTGAAAACAGGCTGAAGGATAGAGAATTCCTTGTCCCGATGCTAAATTTATCAGAAAGATTACGAGCGTACCGTCTGTCACTAATAACGGACTAAAACTTTCGGTGACAATTTCTGAATATATACAGAAAGGAGAAAGACCAGTATATGAAGTAACAGTGACGCACCCCCTATAACTGCTGCTCAGAAAACGCCACGGTCCAATTTACGGGAGTTTAATTATATACGAAGGCGTTCTCTATTTCGATGTCTTAGGATTTCCCTTTTGTTGGAATTCGATCTGATGATTTGGTACGTTCTTATAATCCCTGGTCTACCAAAGATACAACGACAACCAAATCATCGGTCGCAAAACGTGCACAA